TTTTTGTTGAGTTGCAGCAGCGTATACCGAAAGACAGTGGGTCCTGTACCCTGTAGGTAAAATTTTGATACATTGGGGGTCACCTCTGTGTAGGTACATCAGTCTGGGCATTACTCTATAAAACTGTGGGGACCGTTCCGTTTGGCGCTTTGATCTGTCTGGTTATGTCTGTCTTTTTCGCGCCATTCTGCCTTAGATTAACAAATTTGTAAAGCACTACTTGGCTCATTTTACGCACTGCAAAACTGACCTCTTGCATGCAAAATTTCAAATTATTCTATCCAGTAGTTGCCGAAATATGGATATTTTTTTGACAGAACCAAGCTTTGCCTAAGCCAAGCTTTGATCAGCCCAAAGGAACACTACCCAATTAAATCACTGCAATTTACATAATGTAGCAGCGCAACAGGCATGAAAGTCAGTTGATTGGTAGTGACACACCTGACTGCACACTTTTACATTCATAAATCTTATATGAGATCGGAGTTTTTTGAAAAAAGAACGTATTTTTACCTAGGTATACCTTCAAAACTGAAATATTCCATATTAAATGTCAAGTCTGTATATTGGATGCATGTACATATATACAAGTACAAGTACCAGTATAGAGCTCTTACCTTCAAAATTTCACATTTTGCTCTTTTGGAATGTAAATCCCTATAGTTTTGAAATACTATATTACTTAGAGATTTAGCTCTTGACTTCATCCCCCAACTGGTCTTAGACACAGATTGGGAGTAACAGTAGCTGCGTATGCAGCGTGACTCTGATCGAATCAATTTTCATTTTTATTAATATTAAACTTTACTGGTCTGAACACATGTCACAGAATATTTGTACATTTTTCCCTTTTTTTTTTTTTTTTTTTTTTTTTTTTTTTGCGAGAGCCAGAGATGTGTAATGCATTATGAAATAAAAATACCTGGCTACAGTTCTGGCGACAGTCCTTGCGTTAGCGGTGACACCGACAGAGAGAGAGAGAGAGAGAGAGAGAGAGTCTGTGTGTGTAACGTTGATCTGTGGTCATTAGGGCACCCTGAGTGTGAGGTGATGTCACTATAAACTCCCCTCTGTTATTTAGCATGCCTCTCTCGACTCCATGAAAATGACCTCTGAAATTCAGGGTACAGAGGGGAGTTGGAGTTGGCCGAGTCTCCTCTTTACCTCGGGCACCGCGGAAACACACGCAATTTCTGCATCCGTATAATAAAAGGTGAATTTAAGGTGAGACTTAAGATTAAAGGTGAAGCAAATGTCCAGATTACATGATTTATAATCAAACGGATTGGCATCGGTTCGGATATTGTAAAGAGGCAAAAAATTAAGTACATGTACCCCGTAGGACATAACGTCACCCACGCGTATTTTTCTAAAAAAGAACTTCCTTTTGATAAAGGTTGCTGATGCGCATGCAGCGCGTGTGCATGTACATATACTGTGGTCAGCGAATGGTCACCTTTGCTGTTGGGATGGACACATTTGACATGCACTCCGAATGTGAGTTTAAGATTTGCTCCAAGGTAAATCTATGCTTAATCTATATCTGCACGCTACTTCTGGATAGTTGGTAGAATGAAATAAATACGTACATGTAGAGCTTTCCACAACAGCATATAATTTGCTAAACGGTGTAAGCAGAGATTAGGCAAGCTACTGTACAAGGGTGCGTATCATCATTCATGCTATTTATCTAGCATTTGTCTTGAAGGTCAAATGCTATCGACCGCGTTTGGTGTGTCTTTAAAACTTTTTTATCTTTATATTAAAAATGAAAGTCACAGCAAACAGATAATACTTATACGAGCTTTTTCTTTGAGGTGAAACGCAACAAAGGGTTTCTTTCACAATGAAATGTTACACATCTTGGATTATAAAAAGGAAGGGATTCCCGATGAAATAGACGAAAATAGTGAACCATTGTTCGTGTTAAATCGGAGTGCTGGCACATAAAAGCATATTGGTCTAATTATAGAGATCAAGTTCGGGTCTGAGTTCTTTCTCTCTCGTCCCAGGGAAAATATTATTGCTAGGGTGAGCTCATAATCCAAAGAGCATCAAGGGCGAGCTGGCAGCATAGTGGTGTCAAGGGCGCCTTATAACTAAGACTAAATGAGTTCATTAATGTGCATCAGTCCTACTTTGCTTACGTAGGGGAAGTTAAGGCCAACCGCTGATGCGGTCTTAGATGCACTTCCACTTGCTGTTCATTTCGACAGAGACAAGGTAAGTTGACATTGTCATACCACTTACTAAACACTCCACATTTAATAGATTTATCTAATTAGAATAAGGATTCATTGCATGTTATTTTTTGGATTTATTTGGGGCTTTCAAAACAGGATGTGTTTGTATAGATTCCTTCCCAAGGTCGCTACGCGTGAAATGGGGTCATTGCTCTTTATCATCCCAAGGTTTTAATAACACTGGATGATCTGGGTTAATGTCGCTTTACAGGAAATTTAGTGTCCACACGACTTTGCGTTGATCATTCTTAGCAAACAGTGCTTTTTATTGATATTTTATCCTCCATCTGAGCTTTCCAGTTGAAAGGGAAGCAAATGTCATTTTGTGTTATCTGTGTCTAGTATTATTGAAGTTGAACTTCATTAACAGGATAAAGGCTGTTAGGAATTGATAAATGACTGGTTTCATTGAAGGCGGTACGCTACATGTAGCTGTATTTAAGCTGTTATACAGGTATACACAATAGTGTGAAGTCAAACCTCCTTCCCCTCGGCTTCTGCCATTCCTTCTCTCTCTCTCTCTCTCTCTCTCTCTCAAACCTCCTTCTCCTCAGCTCCTGCCATTCTCTCTCTCTCTCTCTCTCTCTCTCTCACACACACACACACANTGGAAGTTATACATTTTCAAAGTGTGAACTTGAACTGCCATGGGCCTGAAGCCTTATGCTTATTACACATTTTACTTACATTGGTATTACCTGTTGAGCATAATTAAAATTTGATGTTGAATTTGCAGTTTAACATAATGTACTTTTGCATCAGAATTGACAGTAGCCTATTTTGTGCATAGTTATTTCCTGCTTTTTGTCTGTACATTTGACAGCTTTGCTGCCTTGTTTTTTTTTTTTTTAACGGGGAAAGTTTTTTAACCCAGAGCGTTAATTCACATTTACAAATAGGTGTGTTTATATCTATAAAAAAATATGTTAACATATTTTTTTATGTGGGAAAAGGAGGAATGTGTCAGGGACCCCTTAACGTTTATAATACATTTATGAAAACTTCCATATCCGTACAGGTATGATCTTATTTCTGAATTTCATTGCCTTTGTGTTTTTGAAGCCAGCTGAACTGGGCACTTCCTAGGAGGATGTGGAGGTGGTTGAGTGACCCCTAATTTAATTAACTGTTTTCCAGCAGGTCATGGTGTGGCCTTTAATGTAATTTAACCAGGTGACTGTATAACCTCTATAAAAGCTAGGTTGCTTACTGTGAGGGGGGTTTTTGCTAGAAATCATTTGAGACACGACGATTGTAGTACATGCTCTATATCTGAAGTAAATATTCGTTATAGTTACAGAAAACTTACATGACTTGAGTTCGTTCTCTTTGCGTGTTTACATGCGTATGATTAGACATCGAACCGTGGACGTATTGAACTGCTATCGTGATCAACCGGCATAGGCTGGTATTACGTAAAGTTCATAACTGATCGGGCGGTACCCGACACGGCGTAAGCAGAGATTAGGCAAGCTACTGTACAAGGGTGCGTATCATCATTCATGCTATTTATCTAGCATTTATCTTGAAGGTCAAATGCTATCGACCGCGTTCGGTGTGTCTTTAAAACTTTTTTATCTTTATATTAAAAAGGAAAGTCACAGCAAACAGATAATACTTATACGAGCTTTTTCTTTGAGGTGAAACGCAACAAAGGGTTTCCTTCACAATGAAATGGGATACATCTTGGATTATAGAAGGAAGGGATTGCCGATGAAAAAGACGAAAATAGTGAACCATTGTTCGTGTTGAATCGGAGTGCTGGCACATAAAAGCATATTGGTCTAATTATAGAGACCAAGTTCGGGTCTGAGTTCTTTCTCTCTCGTCCCAGGGAAAATATTATTGCGAGAGTGAGCTCATAATCCAAAGAACATCAAGGGGCAGCTGGCAGCATAGTGGTGTCAAGGGCGCCTTATAACTAAGACTAAATGTGTTCATTAATGTGCATCAGTCCTACTTTGCTTACGTAGGGGAAGTTAAGGCCAACCGCTGATGCGGTCTTAGATGCACTTCCACTTGCTGTTCTTTTCGACGGTGACTAGGTAAGTTGACATTGTCATACCACTTACTAAACACTCCACATTTAATAGATTTATCTAATTAAAATAAGGATTCATTGCATGTTATTTTTTGGATTTATTTGGGGCTTTCAAAACAGGATGTGTTTGTATAGATTCGTTCCCGAGGTCGCCACGCGTGAAATGAGGTCATTGCTCTTTATCATCCCAAGGTTTCAATAACACTGGATGATCTGGGTTAATGTCGCTTTACAGGAAATTTAGTGTCCACACGACTTTGCGTTGATCATTCTTAGCAAACAGTGTTTTTTATTGATATTTTATCCTCCATCTGCGCTTTCCAGTTGAAAGGGAAGCAAATGTCATTTGGTGTTATCTGTGTCTAGTATTATTGAAGTTGAACTTTATTAACAGGATATAGGTTGTTAGGAATTGATAAATGACTGGTTTCATTGAAGGCGGTACGGTAGCTGTATTTAGGTTGTTATACAGGTATACTCAGTAGTGTAAAATCAAACCTCCTTCCCCTCAGCTTCTGCCATTTTCTCTCTCTCTCTTTCTTTCTCTCTCTCTCTCTCTCACACACACACACACACACACACACACACACACAACAGCAGCACCGCCTCTCTTCCTAGCCCTCCCCCCTCCCCCAGACATCCCTGACTATTACTTAACAGGTACAAAATAGTAGCCTACAATGCATGAACTTCCGAAGTAAACAATGCCACATACTGAGCTCTATAAAAACTTAAGCTACTGCGTACCAGGCTGGAAACCGACAAATACATTCCAGTCCTGTAAAGTCTGACATACCAATGCGGCTTATTGTGCATTATCTAGAGTTCATTGCTGTCATGTGCCTGACCGAGTTGTGGTTTTGAGACGTCTTTAAGATTTGATAGAATTGAAAGTCGTTCACGTGCGTTTAAACCAATTTTCTTGTTTTAAATACACTAATTCTAATTCATTAAATATTTTATTTTTGCATCGTTAACTTCTGGATTTAATTATTATCAATATTTTTTTTCTATTAAAATATCACTTTCAAAAACTCGGTCAGCATTTCTGATATAGAGTGTGTACGCGTATTTATAAGCTTAATAAATGTTATTGTTTTTCTAAATATTCAACAAAAGTACTCGACAAGGATGAGATTCGAACTCACGCGGGGAGACCCCAATGGATTAGCAGTCCATCGCCTTAACCACTCGGCCACCTTGTCACCCTGCATCACAAATTTCAATAATAATAATTATAATAATAATCTTTATTCGTTCTAGCACAATTTTACAAAGGCTATGACCAAACAATTACATAGGTACCATATTGAGATAGGTTAATACATAGTGTACACTTACATGTATACTCTGTTATACACCCATTATCAGAGGTGAAAATTATACTACTTGATACATTCATCATTTGATACAGTGCCCTATTTACACATTGTTGATATTGAAAATGTCTCTTTATCTCATTTACCTGATTGCGAAGCGATATCTCAGCTGAGACAATTGTGAGAGAAAGAATAGGGGAGGAACAGAGAGAGAGAGAGAGAGAGAGAGAGAGAGAGAAAGAGAGGAATGAGTTCGCGCAAAGGATGGAGGAAGAACACAGGAGAGTTGGAAGGAAAAATATATTATTAATTTTTTTCAGGACAGGAAAAAAATAAGAGAAAGAAAGAGACCTGCTTTGTTATAAAATCACATGCCTATTTTTAAGAGGGTAGTGGCAGTATTCATTTCCTTACCTTGTTCACTCCATCAATGCAAGCTAAGATCAACAATTAACAGTTTCTCTTAATAGTAACTTGACAATGTTTCTTTGTATCTCATATAAAACACTCTTCGAATATAGATAAACTATTAAACGACTTTATGGATCCCACTTTAAGATAATGCCTACCTAAATACTCAATATAAGTCAGGCTAGCAGAACACTGCTGTTTTAGTGAAGGTAAACATGAAAGAGGAGGAAGAAGAAACCAATATTAAATACTGGCGAAGTAGCAATTGTTGTTAAAAACGCTAAGTTGAATTATCAAATTATTAACGCCACTCGCTATCGTTTTCCGCGCACCGTGATCTTGGACTGAAATCAGAGACATCTTTTGAACTTAACGGTATTTGATTAACCGATTTATTTTGCTGCGAATTTTCTAGCACAGTGTAAATTAAAGGTATAAAAACCCTGCTTTTTTTCTGAGAATTTTCTAGAATAGTGTAAGTACAACATGTACAGAAACACATTGCAATTGCCTGGGACATTTCGACATTAGTGTGGGAGCAAAGTCTGGAATAAACAAAGTGCTTTAATATAGGACGAATATTGTAACGTGGCCACGAAATCTAAACAAAAATCAACCAATTTTGCAAGTAGTTTATTCAATGCTGTAACGAGAGCATGTATATCTATCTATTCGTGCTTTGACACTATTGCCCCGTGAACCAGTCTGTATTCTTCAGGTAACATAACCACACATGGTGGTTGATTTGTTACAATATTACAGGGGCAGTGGGGGGGGGGGGCTGTCGAAGATGGTCAGAATTGTTCAAGTTTGCATTGAAGGTCATCTAATTTTTCTGTCGGTAGACGGTTAAAAATGGAGTATGGACCAACAAAGATAATTTGGAAGACTGTCAGAAAACATCTCTGGATCCTCCCCTGTATAACCCACCCGAACGCTGTCTATCTCTACGAAGACTATCGTTTTTAAAGCACGCATTGATTTCTTTAATTAATTTTTATTAACCCTTGATCGTTATTTTTGGTTACTCCTTGACCACAGTGAGCGCTAGTCCCGATGTAGTCTGTTACAAAAGTATTATATCGCAGCTGATACTGTAATTCTGTATGTTACTTTAGAAGCACCAGATATCAGGGGGTACATGTAATTACTGGTAAGAAATTCAACAAATTTGTTTGTAGAACGATGCTCGGAGATGCCAGGGTCCGCTACAAGGTCTGTCTCTTCAGAAGAAGAAGACAGACTTTGTTACCGAGAGCAGTGGATAAAGGCGCATCGACCAGATGTGAACTGCCAAACTTTGATCTTTCAAAGTGAAAAGAATGAGACTATTGATAATTTGAATAATTGTAAGTCATTACCAAGAGATGTAATCAAATTTATTTACAGTGCGTTGCTTATTGCAACTGTATAAAAGACCTTTCATTAACCTTCTACTTAAATTAGACGTTATTTCTTAATCATCTATCATTTATTTAATTTTGATTTCATTTTTCATAGAAAAAATTCCGTACTGTTTGAGCTTAGTAGTCTTTGGTATCTTGGCTTCAATTACGTGTTAGATAAGTGTATTTTTCACTAATGACGCACTGCCTTTCAAGGCGAGGCATTATCTGACTATTGATAAATTTCAGAAAATTCACAAAAATTACTCCTTAATTGTAATGCACCGAACAAATACTATCAAAAATGGATAAAAATGTTTGACAATAACAACAATAATAATTATAAATAAAAGCTAGGATTTTGTGTCCTAGATAAAAGGAAGAGACAAACGATATGAGAAAGATGTGTTTAAATGTCCTTTGACACTTGGGAACGTCTGCAAAAAACAGCGGTGCCAGTATAAGCAACAGTAAAAAGATTGATCAATTTTATTGATTACTGTTAATAGCAGGAAATAAGCAAGATCCAATTTAAAGTCTAGGCGCTAAACTAATACCGCATTAATCAGTGCAATAATAATTACAGACATAGAAACATTTAGAAGGTATCTGTTTTACCTTAAGGGCTAACGTAGGCGCCGTTCTATCAATTTGTATGTAAAAGTATACGTAGTCTGACAGATGAACAAGTGCACTACACTCGTACTGCATTTTGTCTTGATGTGTTTTGATTTGTTTTTTTTTATGCATGTATTAGTATCAATGCTCGAAGAAACTAGAATAAAATGCACCTATGAAGAGCTTTGGTCAGAAGATCAGAAACGGCATACTCAGATAAAAATGATGTCTCAAAGCTTGTTCCTCCTAATCAAATTATAAATGGCGTTATTATGTCCAAGGCGTATTTAATGAGAGACAGCTATTTTCCTTCCTTGTCCTTTAATTGAAGTCATGCCGTTGTGATATTAGAAAGGTCCTCAATCTATCTTTTATACTATTGATCTTGAGCTGTAGTTAATAGGATGTTTGGTAAACTTATTCATCACCGAAAGGAATTCAAATTGTTTCTGGATAATGAGCTGGTTAGATTTTGAATGCCACTCATGTGCAATCCTTGTTTTTACATTTTTTTAAATAATTACCCAGGTTTTTCAAGGATGGAGCTTTGCAGGATTTGAAGGTATTTTAACCGTGTGTCGGCGCTGCATAGGTAAATGTAGCGTTGTGACTGAAATGTATGAATTTTATGATATCAAGACATTAGAACCTACCGACGAGTATGAAGTTCCCTGATTAAGAAATGTATTTTAAGCAAACAAGACTGAACAAATGTTCTTGACTAGGAAACATGAACAATCTAATGGAAAATCATCCGAATTGTTTTAATCTTCATTTAGTCTCAGTGTAATATGGTTGGTGGTGTGTGCATAAATATCCATACAGATGCATGGGCGAGCACCGTGCTACACAGGTAGTTGTTTGCACTTGCTTAAGTGCGTTCTTGAAAGCCTTCATGTGAATGTTTGAGTGTATGTTCGTGTGAGTGTAAGCACGTGTATATGTTTGTTTGCGAACGTATATTTACAGTTATGTTAATATATTATCTGGTTCTACCTAGGACCCAAATACATATCTTTTATCCTAAGTTATACAATATGGGATTGATAGTTACTAGCAATTTGAACAAACTCGGATAACTGTTCAGCTTTACCTGACACTAGCGGCACCGAATCATGACCATGTAGTAAAATAGCTCTAAATCGGACCTGAATACTACTTTGGTAACAAAATCGATGAATTCTTGCAAACATCACCAAATATTGTAACCACGTTATTATGTTTTTACTTGGATTTACTCATTATATATGTATAAAATCCTCAAGAGCAAG